TCCCTAACAGTATTTTACTTTATTCAGATACAATTTTATAGGTCTGAGTCTTTTTCAGAAAACATCCCATCTTTGAATGTTGATACAATCCAACCTTCTTAAATATTTATATTTTCATTCACTTTAGTATTCTGTTTGGTTATGGCAATATCTAGACTACATTGATACATAATTTTCCATACATGTACACATAATTTTCCTCCTGTGATTCTGGTCTTCCGTGTCCTTGCCACATAACTAGAACAAAACCAAACCAAATGAGAAACTCATCATTTTATGGTTCTGTATGTACAGACTAGCATTTTATGAGGAAGTTTTACAAACTGCTTTCTTACCATGCCAGAATCATACTAAACCATTACACTGAAGCTGTTGGCACATGCTTTTATAGGGAATAGGAAATTGCTATAGAGCCTGAAGGCCCAATATTTTCTTTTATTTGCTGAAGCCCAAGATTTGCATTCCATTACTGCTATACACTGTTGTAGGCAGGGGTAAGTGAAACACTGAATAGCAAGATGAAACCTTAATTGTATCCTACAGGTCTGCTGCCACTTCAATTTTCAGACAGATTCTTCCTTTCAAAGATTTTAAGTTCCAGTCAAAATCTAAATGTGTAAAATGTCTGGTTTTTTTTTTTTTTTTTTTTTTTTTATTAGTTCCCTTTCCTTTCAGTAACTGGAACCTCATTGATTCTATTTGCTATGATACAGGTGGTGGTTTTCAGATCAGATGGCAGTGTGTTACTGAATGAGATGACAGTGAATGTGCCTCATGTGTCAGGTAAGTGACATAGCCTTGTGTATTGTGTCACACACCTGACTTCTCATGTCGGGGTGTATTTTTTCAGAGGCAAAAGTGGAACAGAGGCATATGAAATTTGTTCAGACTTTGGAACAACTTGGGGATGAATGTGATTTCATAGTCGTCACTGAGAATTGCATGGGCAGACCTACTCTGTGTACAGCAGAGGACTGAAAAAAATAGCCCCTTCACTTATTTCATACATCTTGAATATACTGTGGCATGTAGCTTGGGAAAGAGAAATTGTCATGGCTTACATTTAAAGCAGGTTACTTAACCTGCCTATAAAGAGGGGTATTTAGCACTTCCCAAGTCTGACTACATGATGTGGGCGTGTCCTGGCTCTCAGTCATGATGAGGCTCAGGCATGTTGACCCCACCCCACTTCTTCCCGATGTTGTTTTTTTTTTTCCTGTGGTTAGAAAGTCCGGCAGAAGGTAACTGCTGTATTTTTTGGTCAACCAGGGCAGAAAGAAAGATGTGCTGTGTAGCACCCTCTCATCTTCCAGAGACGTCAGCATGTTTTCATATAATCAATGGATTTAGACAGACACTGAGGCTGACTCAGATCACCTAATTTAGGAGACTGCCTTCTGGTGGAAGGTCACATCAGACAACAGCTGTGAGCTCTGGCAGTAACTTCGAAAGGAATGTAGAACTACTTTTTATCACTCCTTTCTAGACATGTTCAGGCAGCACACTGACACAGTACGTGTTGTTCGTTTACCAGCTTATCTGCAGGTGGCAAGTTACTTGCAAGAAAGTAATTCTTTATCTGAAAGGACAGGTATTCATCACAAGATATGTTCACGAATGCTTGCACAAAAACAATTACAGTGTGTAGCTGAAAGTTTAGAGAAATTAAAGTGTTTTAGACAATAAAATAAACTGTCTAATAAATTGATTAAATAGATACATAGAGCATATAATAATAGATTTGCTATAAGAAGTTGGTCAGCCAGTAGATGTTTTTTTTGAAGTTTAGCAAAGCTTTTGGTACTGTCTTTCAGAATATTCTTCCGGACAGAATGTCCAGCACACAGCTAGACAAGTCCATGATACGTTGGGTGAACAACTAGCTGACGGGTCATGCTCAAAGAGTTCTAGTAAATGAGGTTACATCAGGCTGGCAGCCAGTCACCAGTGAGGCTTCCCAGGGCTCAATTTTAGGGGCAGCACTCTTGAATGTTTTTATAAATGATCTGGATGCAGGATTTGAATGTACACTAAGTTAGTTTGATGATACTAAATTAGGAGGAACTGTGGACTACCTTAAGAGCAGAGAGATCTGGATAGACTAGAGGGGTGGGCAGTCGCCAACTATACAAAATTTAAGAAGAGCAATTCCGGATTCTGCACCTGGGATGGATTAATCCTGGTTATATGTACAAAGTGGGGGATGAGAGGTTGGAGAACGGCCCCACAGAACGAGATCTGGGGGTCTGTGTTGATGGCAAGTTGAATGTGAGTCAGCAGTGTGCCCTGGCAGCCAAAAAGGCCAACCATGCCCTGGAGTGCATCAAGCACAGCATAGCTCGCTGGCTGAGCAAGGCGATTGTCCCACTCTACACCGCACTGGTGCAGCCCCACCTTGAGTACTGCAGGTGGGGTCTCCTCAATATAAGAAGGACACCAAACTATTAGAGTGTGTCCAGAGGAGAGTGACCAAGATGGCAAAAGGTCTCAAGGACCAGACTTCTGAGGAGCAGCTGAGGTCACTTGGTTTGTTCAGCTTAGAGAAGAGAAGGGCGAAGGGTGCCCTCATGGCAGTCCTCAGCTTCCTCAAGGGGGGCAGCAGAGGGGGAGGTGCTGATCTCCTCTCTCTGGTGACCAGCGATAGGACACAAGGAAATGGAATGAAACTGTGTCAGGGGCAGTTCAGTTTGGACATCAGGAAAAGGTTCTTCACTGAGAGGGTGTTTGGTCGCTGGAACCAGCTCCCCAGGGGAGCAGTCAGGGCACCAAGCCTGTCGGAGTTCAAGGAGCATCTGGATGATGCTCTTAGTCATATGGTTTGCTTTTAGGTAGTCCTGCGAGGATAGGGAGTTGGACTCAATCATCCTTACGGGTCTCTTCAGCTCAAGATATTCTGTGATTCTATGATCCTAGTTAGGAAGCCCTCTTCCTCCACTATGCTTATTTTGTATGTCTGTTCTGCTGATTTTCCTATAATGGCTTGATTACCTTATGTATAAGCATCTAACATTTTATTAGTAGTAATTTAAGTATGTATCGTCTTGTAGAGACATGCTTACTACTTATTGTATGCAACAGTGCTGGGATAATACTTTCTCAGAAAATCTCTTGCTCTTCAGCTTGCTCAGCTTGCTCAGCATTAATGAGTTAGCATTGAAGCTGTATTGCAGAAAATCTGAATTTGATTCTGATCCCAGGGATGAGTCGTCATAGGAAATCAACTTGTAAGTTAGTGGGGACCGGCATTGTATCTAGTTGGCCAGCAACTTTTAGAGGAAAAGAATGATTCATTTGACCCTGATCTTAGAGTTTTCATGGCAGGTGATACCTTAGAATCTAGTAAGAAGTGTTTATTTCAGCAGCCTCTATGTGTGTTTACTGCACAGTTCATGTTTTGTTTTTCAGCCAGCTTCTCGGTATTCAAACCATCTTCCTACTACCTTGTTGTACAAACTTCTTTTGGGCTTCAGCTGCAGATCCAGTTGTTTCCAGTCATGCAGCTGTTTGCGACTGTGGATCAATCAGTTCAAGGAAAACTTCAAGGCAAGTGTCCATTCAAATGGGAAGCAAAGCTATGCTGTTCCACAGCTGAAGAGTCATGTATTCTTCACATGAGTGATAATTCATGTTACTTATTGATTGAAGAGGAGGAAACAAAAAGCAGAAACCAAAACATTGGAAGAGAATTGACTCAAGCAAACTAGAAATGCATTTTTATTATTTCATTTTCATATTGAAGTGACCGATCACTCTGGTGCCAGTAACAAATGTTTCTTAGAATATTCCTTACTTATGTATTCAGTTTAATTTTTAACTATCCACAAAACCAGACTTTCGGTGCACTTTGTGGCTTCAGTATCAACAGAAAACATAAAAAAAACCCAAACAGGTTAGGATGATGGTCTCCTGAGACAGAGATCTCTTCATGGAGACTATTCATCCCAAGAGGTTAAAGATTTAAAATAAGGCTCCTAAATCTTCAGTACTTATAGCATACATTAATATTGAGGTGGAAAAATTAGCTTTATGAATTTCTGTTTCTAATGTCAGTTGCCCCTTTCCCTTTGACCTTTTAGAATGAGAGTGAGTAATAATTAGGTAAGATTTTTGCCTTCTTTTTCAATAGGTCTTTGTGGAAACTTTAATGGAATGGAAGGTGATGACTTTAAAACAACCAGTGGGCTGGTAGAAGCTACAGGGTCTGCCTTTGCTAACACATGGAAAGCTCAATCCACCTGTACAGACCAGGCAGAAAAGCTGGAAGACCCCTGCAGTCTCAGCATTGAAAGTGGTAAGCACACTAATAAGTCAGATGGTTGGCTTCTGCTAGGATGAGCAGTGTTTGCTGTGTATTACTGCAACAGGCTTGTGAGAGTTCTAGTGCGGCACTGAAGTTTCTTTAGAGGACTGACAAATTAATAATTAATTTCTGCTAGTATGTATACAGATGAGCACTGATTTCACATCAAATTGAAGTGATAGTTTAGGGAGTGATTGTAGAAAAATCCTGAGCTGGAAGATAGGGAAACAAGGTCATTAATTATATTTTCTGCAAAGGCAGCTCGTATTTCCCAGTTTTATTTATCCCTATGTTTAACTGAGCTTTATGGTCGCCAAATGGAAAGGGCTGTCACAATGCCATGTAGACAAGTTGCAGCAGTACGATATGATTTTTGATTTTATGATTGCATGTCTGCTGCTAGATAACTGAATCAGAGAATAGAAATGTATGTACAGTGATTACATGTAGTTTCTCCATTCCCCAAAGTGCATACAAGTCTCTCATTTATATTGTTGCATTACATTTATGTGACAACATAACTAGACATGGCACAAGGAAGACAAGTGAATGTAATGAATATAATAATACAATTTCATTTTCCTCCTTTTTTGCAGCAAATTATGCTGAGCATTGGTGTTCACTGCTGAAAAACCCAGAGGGTCCTTTTGCAAGATGTCACTTAATCATTGATCCTTCAGAACACTATAAGGTATTGTAATCTTGCACTCTTTTTAGTACTGCTTTATTTCAGATGGATGACTGTAGACTTCTATCAGTGTTCAAACATCTGAGACATTACTGAGTAGCTGGCCCACAAAGCTGGTGAAGTTCTTGCAGTGATTAACTGAGGCAGCATAGCATGCATCCAGAGTATTTCCTATGATGACATTCTTAAGGAGTGCTGCTAAAGAAAAGGGTAAATTTGTTCTTCTTGTTTCTTATGCTTTGTATTTAATGTACTTTTTATTGGATTGGATATTTGAACTGAAAGGAAGATTCAAGAGATGCAGGTATGCACAGAAAGTTTACATCTACCCTTACACACTAGTTACTATTAAGTCAGGAAAAAAAAATTAGTATTTATTAAGTTTCCTGTATTCGTTGGAATGTAACATCAAATCATTTTCATGCCAGAATCTCCAGGGTTTCTTTTTCCCCTATGCTCATCACTGTTGAGCAGTAAGTAAGGCTTACCTGAGCAACAAAGAAGAAATTCCTAAGTATTTGCTCATACCCGAAACTCAGTCTGAGCTCAATTTTTGTGAAAATCTTCATAGATCTAGCTATTATTTTGCCATTATGATTTTTAATATTTATGGATCTCTGCATTTCCAAGTTGTAACTGGGAAAGAATGGTATCAAAATCCTTTAAGAAAGGTGTTGTTAGGAGGGTTGCTACTTTTTAAAGGTTCAAGAGGCTTGGCTTAGGTTAGGACAAACATCCAGACATTTTCATTGTGTATGAAATGAAACGGCACTTTCAGTCTCCAGTTTTTGTCCATTCCTTCTGTTGATTTCTGATTGTGGGAATTAAGAAAACCATCAAAAAAAGGACATGGGATATTTCATAGGAACTGAGTTGCAATTGCCCATTGGTTTCCTGTGGGCTTACTGATCCTTTCATTCTTTATTCAGAAATGTAAATATGACACGTGCCTCTGCGAAGACAATGAAGAGTGTTTGTGTGCTGCCCTGTCCTCTTACTCAAGAGCCTGTGCTTTCAAAGGGATCATACTGGCAGGCTGGAGAAAAAGCATCTGCAGTAAGTAGTGGAATTGTAATCCCTGTGGAATTAATTAGCCACGAGAAATAAGTGGGTTCTCTCTGAATTTGGTTGTCAGTGATCTCAGTTTTAAGGGATTTGGAGTATTTTAGAAATGTCTAATGGATTTAGAAGAGACAATGCTTATAATGTTTACTAATTCTTGTTATGTTATTTAGCTGTCATTTGTTCAAGACATACTTAAAAGTAGAAAGCAGTATTTTTCACGTTCACCTTTTCTCCCCAGCTTAAATAATAGTGCCGTTTCTATCTTCGACTAATCCCAGCCATCATGGCTTTTACAGTGTCTTTGCTTATTAGTGTTTTGTTTATCATTGTGCTTGCTTTTCATCAACAGTAGAGTATTACTGAGACTAGGAATTTATTATATTGTGCTCTGTGTCTCATTATCAATATATGAAACAAGTATGGGTATGAAAGTAGAACCTATTAGTAGCAGTTAGAGAGAAGTCTTCAACTGGTAAACAAAGTTAGGCAAACATTACTTGTGACTTACGATATTTTTGTACTTTAATAAAATCTACGGGATTATTTTTACGATTACATGCTGCACAGCCAAAGAAACCAAAACGGAAATGTAAAGGTTAAATTGCCCGTCCTGGATCCCTTGTTTATCAGTTTGTTTATTTTCTCTCCAGCTAGTGAAGTGTCTGCCTGCCCAGGAAATCAAATCTTCCTTTACAATCTTACAATGTGCCAGCAAACCTGTCGTTCCCTTGCTGATGGAGAAAAGCATTGCTTGCAAGACTTGGCTCCTGTGGATGGCTGTGGCTGCCCATATAATACATACCTGGATAACCAGGATACCTGTGTGCCCGTCTCCAAGTGCCCGTGTTATTACAAGGGATCATACCTGGAACCGGGGGAATATGTCACAAAAGATGGAGAACGTTGGTATGTTTTATCATGGCTTCTGGTTTTGGGGATAAAAGCCCTTTTAAAAGCTGTTTATTAGATGTAAGCAGCTTAGCTTTTTATGCAGCTTTAATGAACATTTGTTACATGTTTCACAACATCTTCACGCTGAGCAATGTAATTTATTAATAATTGAGAAGTGCAGCTTTGTTGGAGGTGTGAGTACTGGCCTTCACAGATAAACGTTCCTGTGAAGCTGCACTGTTAATAGGGCTTTGTTGAGCAGAGGGGTAAAAGGAAGATAAAAGGCCAGCTAAATGTTGTGTTACTGTTTCCTTTTCTGTCAGAGACAGATTCCTTATGTTTTCCACTGGAGGAAGGTCCCCTCAATATGTAGTTACTGTACATAATCTTTTGAAAGCAACTTCACGATTCTGGCACTTTTTTATCATAAACTCTGACAACTGTTTGTTATGTGAATCATCAGTGCAAATTGCAAAATACTTCCTTCTCTTGCCAGACAGATGAAGCATCCAGGCCAACAAATTTGCAGCATGAGTTGAATAGGCATGAAAACATACTGTATATCCAAATTAAGGCTTTGATTTATCATTATTATCTGTTTCATTATTACCTGTTTCCTGAGTCATCAAAAAGCATACTATTAAGGATTAATAGAACAGCTGTCATTCCTTAGAACATAACCTTCCAGTGCATTATGCCAAAAGTCTTGCTACACTTTTTCTCCAAGTGAAAATTCATGAGCGAGCTTCAATAGAGTTCACCTTGAAATATCAGTAGAAATTATGCAGGATGTCTCTGATAAATACTATCAAATTTAAATAAACAAATCCTTAGATTTAAATAGAAGACACTGAGCTTACATTATTTTTTTTTTAAATTTCTACTTACTTCACTTCTTTTCTAGTGTTTGCCGAAATGCAAAGGTCCAGTGTACTTCAGTGACAATAGGAATGAAAAGTAAGTGACATTCTACAAAGTAAAACAAAATAAAAACCATAACCTGACCTCCAAACCCAAACATACACTTTCCATTTGAATTCTCCACTTATTTTGCTTGTTTGTTTTTTCTCTTTATGTGAAAGAGTTACGCATTTTCACTTTGTTCTGTCTTCACCAAACCTCTTTTTTTCATAAGGATAGACATATCCTGAGATTTCTGGCTCAGTAACTAACACCTTTCACACACATTTCTTTTGCCTTTTCTTGATTCATCTAAACCAACAATGTACCTTTCAGATGCAACAGAATGTTCTTCTAATAAGATGTACTTTGACTGCAATACATCCCCAAAGTGGACTTCGCAAACACCTGTACAACTTAGCTGTCATACTCCTCGAACTGATCATGTATGTATTCAGTTTTTCTCCATGTCATCTTTCCTTTATTCTGTATTCTTTAAAAGACATAGTGCAACACAGAAAATGCAGTTGCCTCTCCTTTTTCTTTCTACTGTGTCTTCAGCTAAGTCCTACCTCACAAATGAAATATGATTTGTGTTCTTAGACAACCGAAAAAGAAAAGAAAAACATTAGAAATCTAGAAAGAAAAACCTTATAAAACTAATCAATATTAGGCTGTTAGGTTATAAATGCAGTTTTTACCAGAGTGCTTATGAACAAGCGGAGTTACAATGCAGTGTTTGGCATGAAGTAACAATTTCTCCGTATATCCCTTAGTTCCAGGCAGAGTGTGTCTCGGGCTGTGTGTGTCCTGAAGGTCTATTTGATGATGGTAAAGGGGGCTGTGTTGAAGAGAAGGACTGCCCATGCATTCATAACAACCAGTGGTATTCTTCTGGACAGAAGGTAGCAGTGGACTGCAATACTTGGTATGTTATAATTTTGTACTCTCTTCCAGAATATATTCTAGGCAGTAAATTAGTAGTTATGTCTAGGCCTGTGTACTACAGTGGCTGTGACAGCTGCACATATAAACTTTTATTTTCAGGCATACTTTTTGCTACCTGAGGAAATACAGATTATGCTGAAAATATTGGGCTTTTAAGTAGGCACCTCTTATTGGAAAAGTGCACTCATTTTTTAAATATAAATGCCCTCAGATCTAAAAAATGTAGCTGACCAGAGTTAAAAATCATGTTATAGGCTTAAAAACAGGCTAAACTATTGAAGTTGAGACTTAAGGCATTCTGTAACACTGAAATGGATATTGTGCACATTATCACGTTGTATCAGGTAGCTGCTTGGTTAGTTCTGCGGTTTTCCACAGAGCACACTCCTGATGAGATCTGAAATTTCAACTCTTCTGCTCTCTTCTAGTACCTGCCAAAGAGGGTTTTGGAGCTGCACTGAATATGTGTGCTATGGGACTTGTATGATATATGGAAGTGGCCATTATATCACCTTTGATGGAAAATTCTATGACTTTGATGGGAGTTGTGAATATGTGGCTACTCAGGTAATGCTCATCAGGAGGGCTGAAATGGTATCCGATTGCCTTGAAGATCTACTTTACTCTTTGGTTTTGTCATTCCTTATTGCCTGCCATCGCCGTTCTTGAGGTGTTTACACATTCTGCCAAGATAAATTCTGTATTTTCAGTTTAAGCAACCTGTGTGAATGTGTTTTTTTTCTGATATAGTGATCATAAATTGTATGTAACAGGACTATTTTATAGTGAGAGCTAACAGCTCATTATCAGTTCTGAAATAAATCAGAATTCTAAGTTTACAAACTAAAGATATTTATATTTAAAGGTCTATTCCTCATTTTGTTTTATTGTCCCACTTGTTTCCCGGGTTTTGCCACACGTGAGACTGCATTACCTGTTTATATGTATGCAGATAGGTATATCTATATGTTTGTTCATGTGTAAAAATATAGGTACATAGGGTTTCACATATGAAGCAGCAGTAACAATTTATACATTGTGGAAATTTAAATGATTGTAATTATTATGAGATTGAACTAAAAAGTAAATATTCTGTCTAATTTTCTTATGCTCATTTTTTCCTTTTTCAATAGGATTTTTGTGGTGATAAAAATTCCAGTGGCTCGTTCAGTATCATCACAGAGAGTGTCCCTTGTGGAACTACAGGAGTCACCTGCTCAAAGGCTATTAAAATGTTTCTAGGGGTGAGTAATGATACTCAGTGTGTATATATCAGTATTCCAGTATTTCAAAAAAAAGTAATGCTCCAAAACCACACCCCTGAAAGCAACTATGACAAGTAAAGGTTAGAGGCCCTATCAAACTAACCTGTAAAGTTGTAGATCCTCAAGTACTGAAAACTCTCTCAAACAAACGTGCTACACCACTTTCTGTCACCTTGGAAAGTCATCACAGACTTTGAGCTATTGGTTTCAGGATGAGTTGTATTGTTACAAGTGTCTAATATTTTATCTTATCATAAAATGATGAGATAAGTGTTATAATGTTTCTTGTTTTATCTTTCAGAAAACTGAACTGAAACTGGAGAACAAAGATTATAAAGAAATTCAGCGAGATATTGGTGATGATGTGCGGTATTGGAACAGGACAGTAGGCCTCTACCTTGTTATTGAGGCTAGCAATGGTGTGATGCTTATCTGGGATAAGAAGACTACTGTTTTCATCAAGCTGACCCCTAATTACAAAGTTAGTAGCTGTCTGTCCTTTTCTGAAGTAGCAGTATGAAGAGATAAATGAGAAAGGAAACATAAATGTTCTTTTATTCTGACTTGGTCTTTAGTTCCTATATCCTCTGCATTGATGATTAGCTTACATTATTACTATCGCAGCTTGCAGAGGTGGTACTGGAGTTCCCTACAGTCCATCACAATGCATTGCAGAGGATGCATAGCATATGATTGAGATAAAGCTAAACGCCTAAGGCATTTTGAGTTTGTGAATATTAAGAGCCAAGCACCCAAAATAAATTAAAGGATGCAAACTGACTGTACATGCACTTGGAAACCTGAGTGGAGTCTCAGCCCTGAGTTAAAACCAGACTCCCTAGGCAATGTGTGGAAATGGTTCTGATTTCTGAAAATCAGCATTTGAATTATTATGGAGTACTGAATTCATTGGGCTGAATGGGGAGGTGCAGGGTTGTATAAACAGGAACACACTGTTGCTTGAGGGGGCTGATGTGCCTTAAATAGCACTACCAAAAATTCACTACTGTAGGTAAGTTGCTAAATTCTTTCTTTCGAGAAAAAAATAGTCCCTGTCACTATTTTTTTCCATGGATGAAGAAATGGTGCTCATTATCTTAGAAGCTTTTAATAAAAACAGTTTTGAGCAGAATGAAATTCCCTCAGGCCTATGTTAATAGCTGAGTTATGACAAACTGAGAAGAAAGGAAAATAAATTAATTCTCAGCTGAAAGAGGCTTAGCCACTCTTTAGTGTTGTAAGTTGGATGAAGGGCCACCACAGAGACATGGAAATACACTAGATATAATTGGTTTCCAGGAGGGAAGACATGGCAGCTGAATAGTTTGCTGAGTACACAGACAAATAAAGGTTTAATTTCTGTACAAATGATTTGGAAGTAAAGATGAAAATATGTCATTTACACGGAGAGTCCGTTGTCTTTTTTTAATGTCAAAGTTTCGCTCTTACTTTACTCTAGTCTGTTTCTCACTTCCATGGTATATTTAAAAGCTGTGGATATGTTAATTTTCTTTTCCAGGGCAAAGTGTGTGGTCTGTGTGGCAACTTTGATGACAAGTCTAACAATGACTTTACGACAAGGAGTGGGCTGCAGGAAGCTAATGCTCTGAAGTTTGGGAATTCCTGGAAACAGTCTTCCATGTGCCCAGATGTCACAGAAGAGATTAAGCCCTGTGATGTGAACGCACATCGGAAGTCCTGGGCAGAGAAAGAATGCAGCATCATCCGGAGTGAAGTCTTTAAAATTTGTCACTCCAAGGTATGTAGAGGGTAGTAAGTGATGGGACAGCGCTGTGCATTTCTATTACTGCAGAAGCAGAGAGACTGTCAGAAATTAATGAAGAGATGGTTGAATAGAGTGATTTTCAATTAAGTTGCCAGTACAGCTACAGGTGTCAGCACATCTCTTCTAGCCTCGAAGTGGTTTGAGTATCTGTGGCCACAGGACTGCATCAGTAGTGTTGCCAGCCCTGGCTGTACGAGCCCACGTTCATCACTACAGTTTCACTGGTGCTGCTGTATAAGCTAGCTTCATAAATCTAGCCTGAATAGGTCTGTGTGTGCTAGAGTTGCATTATCTCTTTTTGAGAGTGTCAATACCCTAAGTTCTGAAAGGTCTTGTGATCATCAGACCCATCTTCTGACAGAAATGCATGCTATACTTGAAAGGTGGCTGGTGAAGAGACTACTGCTCTTTGTAATATTGAACCCACAGAAGGTATCTTCTTGTAAACCACTGACATCACACAGTTTAGACGGGCTTAGTTGCCAGTACTGTGCCTCCAAATTGTCATAGCATACACTATGTCAGGCCCACAGCTTCCATAGCACAGTGCACAGAGAGCACTCCTCTCTATTTCTTGTCTCTTTGCTGAAGTATGGTAGTATTAACAAGTTTGTTCTTAACTCACAGTGAAAAAGTCACAAAGAATTATTAATTAACTTAGTATGTGTTTCTATGTTGATTCCTTCAGCAGCTAAAATCCAGTCTAAGTTTCTCCTCTTGCAGTTCCAAGCAAAAAAATTGAAATGTTTTGCTAATGTGTAATTGAATGAACTCCAAAACTGGCAAGCACAATACTCTCTGCTTCATATTTGCTGTGAAGTGCAGCCTTTCTGATACTGCTCACCACTTGGTAGGCAAAGCCTGATAGAAGACAAGACCTCATTGGCATCATTCCAACTTGGTTTTGAGACCAGTAAAATGGAACTCTGTTAGAAAATGTGGGCACTGCCAAGGACTCTTATTTTATTTTTTCAGTCATAGCAAATTATGAAGGTACTATGTTACTTCAAGTCTATCACTATACATTAAGCAGCTTCAAGCCTCTAATGTTTGTTTATGTCTTGATAATTCTTAGAAACACTCTCATTCCTAGCCAGCTCAATTCCCATATCTCAAGAGATCTCTCAAGCTTACTAGTTTGAAAACTAACTTGGAGATGAACTGGGGCATCATTTCTTTCCGCAACAGGTGGACCCAAATCCTTTCTATGAAGCTTGTGTTCACGATGCCTGCTCTTGTGACACTGGTGGAGATTGTGAGTGTTTCTGTTCTGCAGTCGCTGCGTATGCTCAAGAATGTACCAAGGCTCAGGCCTGTGTTTTCTGGAGAACTCCTGACGTATGCCGTGAGTAACAGTCAAACACAACTGTGTCTTTCTGCCTGCTGTCAGAAAGCCTATCAAAGAAATCAGTAGTACTGTCACTGCAAGGTCATGCTGGCTATGCAATGCAATTTATTTTCACAGCATGTCAGGGAACAAACAGAACTAGTAAATTTTTATATTTCTATTATCTTTTATTCAGCCTGGCTTTCTCTTTTCTCTTCTCTTTTTTTTTAAATATTTTAAAACATTTTTCCCCCCTTTTTCTCTTTTTTCTTTTTTTTTTTTTTTTTTTTTTAAAGGCTAGGTTCCAAGTCATCCTTCCATTTTGCTTGATAATCGGTGAACTGGTAACTAACATTCTGTGATTCTGTGAATTGCAACTCCTATTGTCTTACTCCTCTCTTGTCTTTTTCAAATTATTCAGAATTTGATTTTAGCAAAAGTATATAGAAGTACTCCTGTGTAGATGCACATAACCGGTATTGAGTATATGAAGTGGTGTCCATTAGTGGTGCTAAGTTCATACCACTACATCACAAAATAATGTAAAATAATATTTAAATTAATATTTCCCCAAAAAATGCTCAAATCAAAATGTTGAGATTCTAAGTGGCAAAACTGTAATTTTTTTTTATTTTTAAAAATTCATTATGATCCAGAATTAAGGCTAGTTGTAGTTTTTAAGTGTAAGAAGTCAGTGAAACAGAGTTTCACTGTTATACTATGAAGTTATGTTTCACTCAGCTCTGATATATAAGTTTATAAAAGGTCCTTCTTCTCTCCATAGTGTTCTAAGTTAAATTCTGTTTTTAGCCGTATCCATGATGTTTCATATGCTTGCTTTTGGCCTGCTGGAGGTGACTCTCAGCCCGTGTGATACAGCAAGGTAGAACTAGTTTGAGGATACTGCAAGAGTGTATAGGAGTTTGCCAGTATCTGGGGAAGAAAAATACTCTCAAAAATATACCCTTAATTTTAAATTAAAATTAACATTAATTGTTTAAATTTTTTGTGATATGAATCAAACATTTTCACCTTGTGGCATGAGTGTTTAATACGAAAATCTTGGGCCCCAGAGTTTTGACCCAAAATTTTGAAGTACCAAATGTTTAAGTATAGTAGAATAAAGTCCAGGTCCTCAAGAGAAATTTTGCTGGCTTGACACGTAGATTCATTTAGCTTGTACCTGTAAAGAACTGATCAGAGCTGCATTCTGGCAACTGTGGTTTTAATCAGTTTCTTTTTTTTTCTTATCAGCGATATTTTGTGACTACTACAACCCTCGTAATGAGTGTGATTGGCACTATGAGCCTTGTGGCAGTAATGTCATGACCTGCAGGGTGATTAATAATGTCAGCACCAACTTTTCAGTACCATACCTGGAAGGTAATAAATTCCTTGCCATTTATGTATTTTGTTTCATGTGACTTTGTCCAGGTATCATTTAATGAATATGGACTAGTCAGTCAGCTTGACAATATATTCCTAAATCTGTCATGTTGAATTTGTCTCCAGTCTTACCTAAATGTTTCCTATAATGTAATTTATTATTTACTAGCATCAGTGGGTGATAGTTACATTGCTTCAGCCACAAAACTAGGTCTCTGCTTGGGTAATATCCTGAGACATACAAGATTATTACACCATTGTTATTTTGCATCCCATCCTAAGGGCATTTCAAGAGAAGGAAAGCCTTTTACATGGCAAAGAAGCGAGTTACTGACAGTTGGGGGCTTTTAACCTTATCATTCTTTATGCATCAGTCCATCTTGACTTTATTAGGTTAATGTGCAGCATCCTCCTACCTTTGCAATGGAACATACCTTTGATATCAAACACACTGATGCTGTTATATATTGGATTCTTAAAGAAGACCACAAAAAGGTGTGCAAGGACTACTGGGGGCTACCTCTGTTTTCAGTGTGTTTCGTTGGTAGATATATTAGTAGGTGAAAGTCCTTGTGCTTGATAACTGAAAATGAATTTCATGTTACGGGAATTGCAATGATCAAGAACGTGAATGACTTTACAAATATCTCCTGGTTTACAAAGTGATAAAGTTCAAGAAAATAGCAATGTGTTTGGCCACACGATCTTTTTGATATGGACTGGAAGCAGTTATCTCCAGTTTAGGGACTGGAAAGAAAACCTGGAGTTTGACTTCACTAATTTAATCCTTGAACTGCTGGTAAAAACAAACAAACAAACAAACAAACCCCAACCAAAAATATATATATAAAAAAGAAAAGTTAACTTTATGCTTTGAAATAGATTGTCTTACATTATTAGAAAGATTTAGATCTTTCTAAATCATTCTTTTTTTTGTCTTCAGTGGAAATATAGATCACACTTACTTTTGTTAAGACATCTTTAGTACCATCTGGCAGTGTGAAGTGACTTCTGAGTACCAGTTAATTACATGGTCGTTCAGTTTACAGGTTATTTAGAACTCCAGTACAGTGTAAAAAGAACTTTATATAATTAAGAACTGGATTTTATGAGAGTGTATTTAGAAGCAGGATACAAGAATTATTTAAAAGTGTATTTAAATGAAAAATGGAATAAGAATTGACAGACAATCCCTTGCAGGTGGGTTTGGGTCACTGGGCAAGGGTATGGAAAAATAGAGATAAATTATCTGTTTTGGGTGGATATACCTGGTCTATTAAAGCCACATAAACGAGGTCTAGAGTTCCAATAAATATAGTGAAAAACTTGTTTATTAATGAATCCACTTCCATATTCTTTGAAAAAATATTACTGATATAGTGATTGCATTTCAATATCTGTAAAAAATCTGGATGTTTCTTTGTCTACTAAGCTGCCCATAGAAATTAATATAAATTAGATATTTCTCCAAGATCTTAAACTAGGAAAAAGCCAATTTCCATAGTTTTCATCATAAACTCTTATTTAATCCTCCTCACCCCAGTATTATCAATGAGAATTGTTTGATTTAAGTCTTCTGGGAAGACTAATTGTACAAAGATTAATTTGAATTGGAAATTTGCGATTTCTTTCACCACGCTTGATTTAGTGAGAATCATCTACCTTCAGAAGGTATCCTCTCATTGAGTTAACTCTTTATACTTTTTCTCCATCCTGTATACTGTTCTAATTGTCATCAACAGGTTGCTACCCCAGATGCCCTGAGGACAAGCCTGTTTATAATGAAGAGACAAAGGAATGTGTGCGTGAAGATCAATGTGGGTGTTATGTCAATGGAACTTATGTTCCCCCTGGGAGTGAAATACCCACAGAAGAGAGCTGTACACAATGGTATATAAAAAACAAAAAGCATTTGCAGTAATTCAGAAAGAATTTATGTATGCTAAGCCCCTCATTTACTTTACTGGGCCTCAGGCAAATAGACATCCAACTTCAACTGAAGAGGTGGTATATTCTAGCATTTATCTATATAAATCAGAGGAACAATGCTGTTTATTCCAGTTGAGACTTAAACTCAAAAAATGCTGTACTTGCAATACATATATATTCTAAATTTTTCATTCATAATTTTCCAAACTTATAATAACCCAAATTTCAGGTTGATAGTGTTGTTATAGTAAGTGTATTAGAAAATTCATTAATTAAACTTTTTGAAGTGTTATAAATGCTAGAAACGCATGAAACCTGGGTTTGTCTCTGAAACAATCTTTTGATTCTTATGGGTCCTTGGGAAGAGAGGGGCTACTCTGCCTTGCATTCTCACTTAAAATTTGGATTTCAAAATCACTGTGATCTGAAATGATCTGTACTAGCCCTGAAAGAGATAGTTGAGTCTTAAATGCTCGTTCCTAGAACCTTACTGATGATAGCACTGACATCTATGACTCCACAGGGTGATCAGAGATAAAAGAAAACCCTGATCTAGCTCTAAGTTTACTGCTTTGAAAACCAGTTGTTATTACTGCACACTTGCAATTTATAACACAAAGCAGTCCATGATACTTTTAAGATGTTGTACTTGAATGGAAGTGATGATTTAGTTTGATATGCTATATTGGAAAATATTATGCCTGGAAAAATATCCAGTAGTATGAATGAAGATCAAGTGACAAATTTTGATGTTTCTGTGCTCTTGGCTCTGCTAACAGGTGCTATAAAACATCTGCAACATTTTAATTTTTGAAAATTTTGCTTTTAGTGTCTGTGGCGCCTCAGGATCCATACACTGTACAACAATCGTAGGTAATAACATTTGGGTTTTTCTACAAATAAAAAGAAAAAATGCATAGAACTGCTATGTCTTTACAAAAGACTTAGTACTGATTTGGAATAATTCTTTCTAGTGCAAGTGAAAGTTGTGGACAAAGAAAATTGGACAGCGCTTTTGTTGAACCTTAGTACTAATTTTTCAGCCTTTTTCTCATGTACCTTGATTCTTTCTCGCCATGTCTCATAGCCAAATGGATTTCACTACAAGAGTTTGCACTTCCAGAACATGTAGTATTATAGAAAAGTGTCAGATAGTAAATTGCAGTTGTTATTCCTCTCGGAACATTTTAAAACCTGGTTTGTAAGTCTGTTCTTCCAAGCATTTTATGCAGGGCTTTATTAAATGTGTTTTAATGTTTCTCTAAATGTAAAGATAAATAAGTGCGATATATTAGATCTAAGCTCCAGGTATAGCTCTGAAAGGAGCACGCATGGCTCATGTAGATGCTTACTTGTCCATAAGTATTTTGCCTATGTCTCTTACTTGGTAGTAGAAAAATTGCACAGTAAAGCTCTTTCTTGCAGGGTGCCCTTGTGTCATCAATGGAACAAGTTACAAAGTGGGTGAAACTGTGGCACAAATACAGGATGGCAACATATGTATAACATACGTTTGTGCAGAAAATAGTTCTATAGTTGTTGGAAGTATTTATCCTTGTCCAACATCTACTTCACCTACAACCATTTCAACCTACTCCCCTACCATTACTCCTACCATCACAGGTAAATCTTTGACAGAGATGCACATCTAAAAGTTATTTTCTTTAAGGAAAATGCTTTAAAGATAGAATGTACAAATATATGGGCTTATAGTTGGCACAGAGTGATACTTATGAATAGTTTTATCACACTACACTAAGAAAGATTTTTAACACTTTGAGTTGCTTCTCATGGAAGAAATTATAACTATAAACATAGAGGGTGCCTTCCTAATTCTGAAAAACATATTATCATCTCAATATCCTGCTGGGATAGCAGAAATTGTCTCAGTAGTCTCAGGAAAAAAATAGAATTTTTACTACTATTATATTTTTTTTTTTAGCTTGCAGATGATGGAGTAATCTTTTTTTTTTTCTATTTCAGTTACCACTACAAGCCCTCCAGTAAGCACAAGTAAGTTTTAAATAGAAAAAATAAGTTGTTTAAAAACGTCAAAGGAACATTTAAAGGAAGAGTAAACTGAAGGTGGCCACTACAGAAAAACATATTTAAGACAAAAACAAATAAATTTTTAAATTGCAAAAATGTGATATGTAGGCAAGAAGAAAGACCTTTAAAGGCTTCAGGTTGGTGATTGTATTTTGATGTGAAACTTCCTGTTGAAAAACCTGGTATTACAGAAACAATTTTAGAACTTGTTTCTCTTAGAAAAACTACAAGTTGCAATGCATTGCTCTAGTCCTTAATGGAATAGAATACATAATTAATCTTCTCAGAGCATTCTCTATAAGATCAGATGCTGAATCTCTTTCTTTTCTTGCAGCTCCATGCTTTGGATTAATCTGTGATTGGACTGAATGGTTTGATGTTAGTAAACCTGAAGACGGTGATGGTGACTATGAAACCTACGATGCAATAAGAAAGCAACATGGAAACAAAATATGTGAAGCTCCTGAAGAAATTGAATGCAGGGCTAAAGATAAACCCGATGTGAGCTTAGAGGAACTTGGCCAGAAAGTGGAGTGTAATGTTACATATGGACTAATCTGTAAAAATGATGAGCAAGATGCAAATATGTGGCTACTTTGCTATAATTATGAAATCAGGGTAAACTGTTGTGAGTGGCGTGAAATTTCTTGTGAGACTACACCGAGACCAACGCCAACTGCAACTTCAACCACCACCAGCACAACAGTACCTACCACCACTACAACCAGGCAGCCAACAACAATTATCAGCACAACCATACCCACCCCAACCATCACAAGTGAATTTACACCAACAGTCACCACCCCAGTAACTTCAACATCTCCAGGTATTTGGCAGACCAATACTCTCTGCTCTTGCTTTGCCACAGAGAAATAAAGGGTGGTCGGGTACTAAAGGCATGTCATCCTGTAGCAGATGGCATGAAGTCTTACTTATGCTGGTTTGGAGCTCTATCCTTCTGCTGGAGAGAGGATTCCAAGAAGGACCTGTTGTACAAAATTAGAGTAGGGCTTGATTTAGAGTACCTTCATTTCAGGCATTTTCTGGGTGGGGCTGTGCAGAATTCCTTCCCATTCTCCTTCTGGTCTCCCTCTGTCAGTGCTAATGTTTGCCTGTGATTATAGACATAGGAAGGAAGGATTCCCCTGGCAGGCATTTGGCAACAGTTTCACTCTGCAGGCTGCCACTTGCTGTGAACTGTGATCTTTGGCTGCAGAGTACACTAGTACTCTCTGAAGCTCTCCAGCAGGCTGACATTGCACCACAGAAAATAACATGACAATCAGGAAGGAGCATGGTTTAGTAGTGTTGATAGAGCTGGGACTAAGGTTGGATTGATGATCTTGAAGGTCTTTTCCAACAAAAACTGTTCTAAGATTCTATGATTCTAACATATTCCTGTGCATACTGCCTTCGCAGACCACAGCTTCCCCTCTAAGTTCTTACTCCCTGAGGTAACGAGATGCTCTAAGTAATGACAGAGACAGAAAACCACACAGAGCCTTACTTCTCCTTATGTCTTACTTATTGGTAGGTATTTTTGATTTAGTGAGAAGCACATTACAGCAACATCCCTAGTCTCTTTGCTAGGAAAGGATTGTCATGACCCACTGATTTGGAAATAGTCTGTATTCTGAGGCCAGAAAGAAAGGCCTAGTAGTATAGGTCTTCACTATGGTAAGAGTGGGCTGAGCGCTATAGGTTTGTGGCAGCAAGCTAACATATAACTTCTATTCAGTGCATGTTGTGACCCACCTATGCATCTTGCACCTTTGCCTGTTTTCTCTGTCCCTGTTCTTTCAAATAGCCCCACCTTCGTCCACAACGAGCACCGTGTCCCCTCCACCCGTATCGACAACCACTCCCACACCAACTCCGTCAAAGCCTCCCAGCACCACCA